GTAATGAGATGGGTCTAAAATTTTGGCATGTTGTCGCCGGTTTGCCCGGTTTTGGAAGCATGGAGATGTGTGCTTGTAGCATATCTGGTGGCATTTTGCCAGTGGTGAAGCAATGGTTAAGGAGCTTGGTGAAGTGTGGTGCTAAGATGTCAGAAAAAGTTTGATAATAGAGGTTAGTAAACCCATCTGGTCCTGGGGATTTATGGGAAGGTAGTCGTGTAATTGTGTCCTTCGGTTCTTCTGTTGTAAATGGTTTAGTAATTGCCTCTATTTCTTCCTGAGTTAAAATTGGAAGGTTGACTGTGCTAAGGAACTCCTGTATTTGTGCCTTGGAGGGTGTGGGTATGTTTGTGTCGGTTTTAAGATTATAGAGTGAGCTATAGTACTGTGCGAATGTTTCTACAATGTCTTGTGGATTCATGATCTTAGATTTATCCGGATTCAATATGTATGCTACTCTAGAATTGGCTGTTTGTGTTTTTAATTTGGATGCTAGGAGTGATCCTGCTCTATTCCCTTGAGCAAAGAATTTATGTTTATATCTCTGTAATATATAACTCGTTTTGTCTAATTCGAGTACCATTAGCTGGTCCTGTAGGTTCCTCAGTTTGGTTTAGTGTTCTGATGACGGGTTCATCTTATTAGTATGTGTGAGGGACTTTATCTGTTCGATCAGCTCATTAAATGCAGTCTGTCTTCGTTTTTTAGCATAGCTAGCATGTTTTATAAATAGGCCTCTAAGTACAGCTTTATGGGCTTGCCATAACGTGGGGGTAGAGACTCCGTCCGTGGTATTAGTCTAGAAGTAAACTTCCAATTCTGTTTTAATTTGTGCTGTGACGACAGGATCCCGTAGGAGTGACTCGTTCAGTCGCCAAGAGCCTCTACCTTTATCAGGATATTGGGTCGATATTTAGAGGGTAATTGGTGCGTGGTCTGACCACATTATAAGACCTATTTGTGTGGATTGAATTTTAGGTATTAGTGACGCATGTATGAGAAACCTATTGATCCTTGAATATGAGTTGTGTGCCTGTGAGTGGAAGGAGAAATCTTTTTCAGAAGGGTGGAGTACCCTCCATATATCTACATATCCTGATTTATGTATTTGTTTCCTAATAGTGCAGGATGAGATAGATCGCCTTTTCATGGTTTTGCTAGATACTTGTAGGGTTGAAGAGGAGTCTAAGTAACCGTCTAGAATAAAATTTGTGTTCCCTCCTATGATCAGAGTCCCAAATTTGTTAGTGTCTGCCATCGATAGTATTTTGTTGAGATAAGTTGTGTGGTTGCCATGTGGACCATAGATATTTATGAGGGTATAGGGAACAATTTGTTTATTTATAAACACCTCCAGAGATATGCACTCACCATAGTTTGGAAACCATTCAATGCACTCACCATAGTTTGGAAATCATTCAATCTCAGATTCTGTAGGTAACTAGAATATATTGCAGTGGACTAGCGCAGACATGACATAGAAAAATGTTTGTGTCTCTTCCTTTAATTTGTTAGGTTTTTTTCAGCCCAACCAAAATTCTAACATACAGAGATTTGGTAAGATTTTCTTTGCATTAAATTCTGTGAAGATGTTCATTAATCTCTGAATTTAGGTCGACCGATAATCTTTATGGTTCGCTGACAGCACTAGCAGCCATCGGGTAAATAGTTACTAACAGTCAGCGCCATGTTGCGGTTGGCCTTGGTGAAACAAAATAAAAAAATGTAAACAGCAAGCAGCCAGTGCTATTGCTACCCAGTCACCAGTAACTTACACCCTCACCTCACCTTGCCCCCAATTTACAGAATCAAGGATGCGGGCACTGTCTAACCATCATGCTTTGTGGGGCTAGAATATTGAGGAAAAAATTAAAATAAAACTATGCATGGGCCACCCGATGGGCCCCTTTAAGTTGTTGCCAATGGGACAGCTGCATAAGGCCCCCCATTAGTAACTGCACCCAGGGCAGTTCCCCGCTGTAAAGATGGTGTTGGGGAAGTTGTGAGTACTGAGATTGCTAATGAATTGTGGTTGGGTAGGAGTGATGCGATTGTCACTAAAGTGGGGTATGGAATGATGTGATGGATAATGAGGGTGATGTGAGGATAATAAAGTGGGGGATGAATGGAAGTGATGAGATTGCAAATTAAATTGGGAATGATATTAGGGGCTGATGATATGAGGGGAAATCGCACATATGCTTACGGTGATATTTCTGTTGTGTTGAAGGCTGGGGACCCTAGACCCAGGGCCGGTGCAAGGATTTTTGCCGCCCTAGGCAAAAGAAAGATTTGCCGCCCCTTCCCCCCACCCCCCTGGGACATCGCAATGCCCCACCCATATGATCTGCCATATGAACTAGTGCCAGTGCTGCACACAGTGTGTGTTTACATTAAAAAGCCTGCAGGGACAAACTATAGACACCAGAACAACTTTATTAAGCTGCAGTGGTTCTGGGGACTATAGTGTCCATTTAATGTGAGGTAAATTAAAGATTAGTGTCACTAATAATATACTAGATTGCCTACTTACAATCAGATGAGGATGGTGATGGGCTCTGGCTGCAGTCTGGCTCCACTGGTCTGGTGTAGAACAGGATCTCTGGAGGCTGTTTGTAACTGTGGTCACAAAATTCAATGTTCTGGGAGAACGGGAAGCAGCTCAATTTTTTGGGGCCTCTTACATAGCTCAAGGTCTGGGCCCCAGGGCCTGACGGTGAGTATGCCCATAAAGCCCACCCATAAGTCCACCTACATGTTCCACCCATGAGTCCGCTCACAGGGAGTAGAGTGTGTAGGGGATGTGTTATGTGTTACTGTAGAGGATCTAATGTGTGTGCTTATGGAATGTAGTGTATAGTGATACCAGTTTGTGTAGGTGATTCAGTGTGTTTGAGTGTAGTGGAAGCAGTGTGTTTTTGTGTAAGCGCTAGAAAGCAGTGAGTGTTTGTGTATAAGGGATGTATTGTGTGTTTCTTGTTGTGTGTAAGGGATGCATTGTGTGAATCTGTGTTTGTATGCATAAGGGATGCAAAGTGTGTTTCTGTGTATGTAAGGGATGCAGTGTGTGTGTCTGTAAGGGGTGCGTTGAGTGTGTGTAAGAGATGCATTGTGTTTCTGTGTGTGTGTTAGAGAAGCGGTGTGTGTTTGCATGTGTGTGTAAGGGATGCATTGTGTGTTTCTGTGTATATGTGCAAAGGATGCATTGTCTTTATGTGTAAAGGTTGCATTGTGTGTTTCTCTGTGTGTAAGGGAAGCATGTTGTGTTTCTGTGTGTATAGGGATGCATTGTGTGTGTGTGTGTGTGCGTGAGCATGGTGTGAAAGAGCTCCCTGCCCTGCCCCCTGTCCTATAGAGCTCTCCCTTCCATTCCTTAGAGATCTCCCCTGCCCCTTAGTGGTCTCCCCTCTCCCCCCCCACCTCCCTTAGTGGTCTCCTTTTCTCCCTGACTTTCCATTAGTGGTCTCTCCTCTCCCCCCACCCTCCCCTAGTGGTCTATCCTCCACCCCCCTCTTTTAGCGGTCTCTCCTCACACCCCTCCCCTAGTGGTCTCTCCACTGACCCCTCCCTCCTTTAGTGGTCTCTCCCTCTCCTACGTTCTCATCTCCCACCCTCCGTGTTCTCCTCTTATTCCCCCCTCCCCGTGTTCTCCTCTTCTTCTCCCCATCCCTGTAATCTCTTCTTCTCCCCCCTGTAATCTTCTCTTCTTCTCCCCCCTCCCTGTAATCTTCTCCCCTTCCCCCTGTAATCTTCTTCTTCTCCCCTGTAACCTTCTCCACTCCCCTCCTCCCTGTAATCTCCCCCCTCCCTGTAATCTTCCCCCCTCCCTGTAACCTTCTCCACTCCCCCCTCCCTCCTGTAATCTTCTCCCCCCTCCCTCCTCCACTCCCCACTCCTCCTGTAATCTTCTCCCTCCCCTCCTCCTGTAACCTTCTCCCCTGTAACCTTCTCCCTCCCCCTCCTCCCTGTCATTTTCTCCCCCTGTAACCTTCTCCCCCTCCATGTGACCTTCTCCACTCCCCTCTCTCTCCTGTAATCTTCTCCCCTCCTATAATCTTTCCTCTCCCTCCCTCCTGTAATCTTCTCCCCCTCTCTATAATCTTCTCCCCATAATCTTCTCCCTCCCTCCCTATAACCTTCTCCCTCCCCCTCCCTCCCTCCTGTAATCTTCCCCTCTATAATCTTTCCCCCCTCCCCATAATCTTCTCCTCCTCCTCCCCATGATCTTCTCTCCCCCCCTCCCCATAATCTTCTCTCCCCTCCCCATAATCTTCTCCCTCCTTCTCCCTCCCATATGATCTTCTCCCCCCTCCCCTATAATCTTCCCCCTCCTATGATCTTCTCCCCTCCTATAGTCTTCCCCCTCCCTATAATCTTCTCCCCCCCTATAATCTTCTCCCCCCTCCCCTCCCCTATAATCATCTCCTCACCTCCCCTGTAGCGTGGCCGAGCTCCTATCCGGTCCGCGACCCGGCGGGACTGACAGGAAGTGCACACTCAGTGTGCACTTCCTGTCAGTCCGGCCGGGTCACGGACCGGAAAGGAGCTCGGCCACGCTACAGGGAAGGGGAGGTGAGGCAGTGCAGCAGCTGTCTGAGCGCTCTCTATAGAGCGCTCAGGCAGCTGTGGCATTTAAAGGGCCGGCAATGGAGGCGCAGGGCGCCCCCTCCTATATGGCACCCTAGGCGGCTGCCTAGTTTGCCTTATAGGAAGCGCCGGCCCTGCCTAGACCAGGCATAATTTCTTGTTGCAATGGAATGGGAGGAATATGTTTCTACCACAGCTGTCTATACATTCTCCCACAGGTTTTGCAGCCATATTTGGTGACAAGTGGCTCTGGATTAGTTGGCCAGAAGAGGTACAGCTTATTGAAGGGATCTCACGCACCTCAGCCTTATTCGAGTTATACCCTATCGTAGCAGCAGCTGTGGTATGGGTTCATTCATTCCACGGCCTCACCAACAGCCACTAGAGCCCCATCATTTTATGAACTAGTCATGGATTACAATAGTTATCAAAGCATAGTCTCATCTTGTCTAGCTTGGCCCTTTCGGATAACACGCGGCTATCTTACAATAGAGGGTTCTCATTGTATAAAAACTTCATGTTGAAACATAATCTGCTTTAGATTTTCGATATCTCATCTCTAGTAACTTTTACATCTTTTTGCCATCTCAAACTCAGCTAGTCACATAACACTATTAAGCGATATTTAACAGGTATTCAACACCACATGTATACATTATATCCAAACAACCCTAGTTTTTTGTCTTCATACCCTATCAAGAACATACTGAAAGGCATACACAAAGCCAGTAACACTACTCCACTTCAAAGATTACCTATTCACAAACAGATATTTAAGGATATGTCAGACTTGTTAGATACAACCCCTTTCGAACATGCCACAAATTCAATTTGGTCATCAAAACAACTATCTTCTTGACCTATTATGGCTTTCTGAGACCATGTGAATTCACCATACATAGTAACAGAAACTCACAAGACCACCTTAAGCATTCTTATCTAGTTAAACAGCAAGATCACTATGTCTTAACCTTGCCCATTACAAAAACAAGTCAGCTTGGTAAAGTAGTTCAAATCACACAATATCCTACTCTAAATAAATGGAGCCCGGTTAAGATTCTGGATTCATATCTCCAAGCATTACTCTGGATTAGTTTGTCTGTGAATCAACTATTTATTATCTGTATTCCAGATTCCACCCCTACCATACTAAATAGGGCATCATCTACAGCCAAGCCACTAGGTACCATTGTATATGCTGTGACCCTAATGACCAAAATTCCCATCTAAATCTATGAGACAGAAAGACTACAAACCAAAGACTATTACCAAACAAATCAACTCTGCTGTAAAAACTCCACGCATGCTCCTGCTATAGTACAGAGAGAAGAAAATATCTACACGAGTACCACTTGTGGTCACCTACAACCCAGCTCTTGAGGAAAGACCTACAACCATTGTTAACAGTAGACTCTGATTTTTTTTTCTCTGAAACACCCATTTTGGCCTGCAGAAAACCACCAAACCTCCAACAAAAATTAATCAACAGGAAGCTACGCAGAGATGGGAAGAATAATAAAAATGGGACCAGTAAATGCAAAAAACCTTGCTGCAAACTGTGCCAGCACATATGCACACACAACACAGCCGCACACAACAATAAAACCTACAGCATTAAAGGTTCATACTCCTGCACATCCAGCAATGTGGTATACATGATTTAATGCACCAAATGCCACCTAGGATGCTACATTGGGGAAACCACCCAGCAATGAAATGGCAGAATGAATATACACAGACACTCCATTCAACACCACAAAGAAGAATCCTACTGCACTTCTGTGGGGCACCATTTTACCCAGCCTGGCCACTCAATGAAGGACCTAAAAATCAAAGTACTGAAAGGAGTTTTTAAAAATACCCAAGAAAGAAAAACTTTTGAAACTAGAATGATCCAATTGTTTAACAGCAAGAATAGAGGACCAAATATTGATTTGGGTTTCCTGTCCCACTCCCAACATTTTACATGAACACTCCCCCAGCATTATCTTACTGTTCTGTCATATGCATCAACATTTTAAAATGCAATCCAATGATATGTTTATTCTATCAATATACATGTATGCATGTATGTATATGTCTTTGTGTGTATGTATATGTTTATGTGTTCATGTGTATGTGTATACATGTATTTGTGTGTGTATGTATGTATAAAGTGTGTATATAAAGGCCTACATGTATGTATATGTGTATATGTACATATATATATATACATATAGATATACATATATATGTATATATATATATGGGTCTATGTATGTGTAGGCACATTTGTATATATGTAGGTACATGTATTGGTGCTTGTGTGTGGATGTATCTATAGGTGTGCATGTACATATATTTGGGAATTTGATTGCATTTATATGTAGATTGTTGTATGTACTTGTGTATAGTGTGTATGTACTTGTGTATACTTGTACATATACACTACTTGTGTATATGGATATGTGCATGTGTGTGAGTATGAGTGTATATGTGTATCTGTGTATGCTGGATATAGGCCTTCATGCTTATCCTGTAACTCTTGGATGGGAATTCATGCATTCTTAATATAAGTAGGTAATATAAGCTTCTGCACTGTTTGCTTGGGTTTTTTTTTCTCTCTCTCCCACCTCACTCTGTGAGCTTCACACAAAATATGTATGACCCTCTGCAAGAATGTTGTCTATTTTCTATTAAACCTGTGTCTTATCTGCACTCATGTCGCTTTAACCCCTGTATCACAACTCAACTTTTAATTCTGTGTGTCATCTTTCTCAGAATTGCTTTAGACTTGAGAAAGGGAGGTTCTCCCGAAAACTTGTCATTAAAATTATGTTAGTCCAATAAAAAAGGTATTACAAGATACAAATTTTCTCAGTTTTTTTTACATCTACATCACTGGACTAATACGGCTACAATCTCTACTTGAACACTAGATATATCTGATTACTCTACTATCACTTTAAGAGATTTTTGATATTGTGCTTAATACCAAAATAGGGTCTATTTACTAAATTAATTTATATACACCTATAGCTAGCAGTCCAGTTGTGAGAAATGTATATAACCCACTAGGGAATACTGCAGCTTCTGACCTCAGGTATTACTGCATTTTCATAAACTGTTTAGGTCTATTTTTCTTAAAAGAACCTAATGGAGAAGTAATTAGAATTGGACCAATTGTTAGTTTCATCTCCTTTTAGTGAGCTAGCTCTATCGTGGATACTGGCTGGCTCCTATGATACCCTTCTTTAATTTACATGGATTTATATTTTTAAGAGCGATTTTATCATTAGAAGCTAGACATGTGATAACACTGCAACACTATAGCCAATTTAACCATAAAATGTAAAATCTAACCCTATCCTAACCCTAACCTAACCTCTAACCCTACCCCAACTCCTAATCTCAACCCTCTCCTGTTTTGCCATATTTTTTTTTTAATCCGAAGCACTTCTGCACTTCCGAAATTCGGCAATTTTGAAATTTGGCAATTCGGCACTTCGGCAATTTGGTTCGACATTCCGAAATTCGACACTTCGGAAATTCTGCACTTCAGACATTCGGAAGCATCCGAATGTCCAAATGTCTGAAATTCGCCCAAATTTGCATTCGGAACGGAACGAATTGCACATGTCTAGCAATTATGTGTTTCACCAGTATAGTCGGCTTCCTCAGGGTTTCCTTTAAGTCTCAGACAGACTTTGTTTTCTGAATAAATCTTAAAGAATTAATTTTGCCTTTGTGTTAGTAATGAGGTGAGCTATATTTCACTTAAAAATAATTACTTTTGATACACTCATTGGTGTCAACATTCATTTGGCATTGTTCCTGCAGAATCTTCTTAGATTTGTACAACGATCCCTTTCATGATACATAATTATATAGTTACATAGCTGAAAAGAGACTTGCATCCATCAAGTTCAGCCTTCCTCACATATGTTTTTGTGCAATATCATCTATGCATGGGTTAAAACAATTCTAAACCTTGAACCTATTGTCTTACATTGTAAAATAGGCGTGGAATTAACATAATTAATTGTTCAATGCAAATTTTTCTATGACCTAAATATTTCAGTCAATGCAAATTCATGGAAACCAAATCATCTGAAAAAAAAAAACGTTTAACTGTCAAGTAATATAGCTGGGAACATGGTTGAACTCTACATTACCAAAGATGTGGGTCCAAATTTTGTAATGGGTATTGGAACTTTGCATGAACATCATGTATCTTCTTTGGCATGTCCCCATGTCTGCCAATTATATATGAGAGGCAGACTATCTGTAAATCTTATTCTGAGTTTACTCTTTTCTAGGTGCTCGCAATATAGGGCATGGGTTATGGTTAGTGTCAGGATTCTGAACAGGTCAGAGAGGAGACTTATGTCGGGGTTGACTTCAGGAACTTTATTGGAATTATTAGACATGTTTTGACAAGAAATAATGAGAGTAGAAAGGCAAGAGGGAGCATGGAATAAAGAGACATGGAGAAAGGAAAACCTATAAACGGAGTTACAGATGAGAATATTAAGGGATAACAGAAAACAACAGTTGGGCAATAAGCCCCAAGCAGGATATCATATAACAGGTAACAGGTAAAAGGGATACAATTAGATAAAACTAAACAGGAACTTAAAGGATAAAGTAAAACAGGTTAAGGTAGCAATTGAGGTAGCAATTGAGCCTCTTTGGTTTGAAGTCAGAACTGCAGTTTCAGGGTCTTTTAGGACACGTGCAAATAATATGAAAGTCTTTAATATCCAGGTAGGTTTGAACAAAATCAATATGAAAACACAGTCCAGTATAGAAATAAAGTTGGTTGGTTTTGGAGATCAAGTTTGGAATAAATCAGGATGGTTCAAGGTAAGTAAGAGTAGAGCAGGTTTTCTTTAGTTAGAGCCAGGAGCAGAAGACTTATCAGGTTTAGAACAATAACTTCTCTCATAATGTAAAGGCCCTGTGGTAAGTTGGGTGTAGCCTTTTGTAGCTTCTTGATTAGCCCAGGCAGGTGAGGATGACGAAGGTTAGTGGTTAGGGAAGCCACTAGTGGTGCAGAGCTGGAACTAATTATTAAAACAACAGGAATAAACGAACATAAACTTAGTTGTCAGGATAGGATCCTGACAGCTAGGGATAGGATTAGCTAGCGTTATAGTTTATCTAGAGTTGGAAATAGTAGCAAAATGCGACACTGTTCAGTAAGGTGACACAGATAGTACCTCTTTGTCAAAACGAATCCCTGGGAAGAAGGCAAAGAGGCATGCCAAAATTAGGGTTCGTCTCTCATTTGATTCTATAGTTTTCCCCAAAACATGGCAAAGGTAGTAGTAAACACAAGGCCCATTTAATTAAATCAACCACTAAATGTGGCAAAAATTGTTGATGAAATAGCCAATTATAAAGACTTAATATAGCACATGTTGAATAGTCTATGTTGCCATCTTTTACAGATGGTATGCCATGACAGGGGTGAAGGCCAGATGGCCAGTAAGCTATTACTTTGTCCCAAATGGGACAGGAGACCAGTAAATTAATCTGTGAAAACTGCTCATTTGAAAATTGAACTTGGCATGTCCAGAACTTCTCAAACATGTTATCAAAATTTACATTGGAATACTATACTTGAATACAGTATCAAAATACAAATCTGGGGGTTTTCAGTGGTGGGACACAC